AGGGTAAGGGTAGGGGCCTGAAGCGACACTCACTCAGGCACCCACCCACCCGGACACGGTTCCGCCAGCGCTAAATAAATTGTTTTCTGTTCTCCGCTCGATTCTCTTGCCGTTTCGAGAGTAAAAGCTAGCTGACACCTTAAATTTACTTATACATTCTTTACGTTTAGTCAAAAGGTTTTTAAGGTATCATCTGCTAAAAAAAAGACATTTAGTTCTGGCAAGTTCTTTCACAACGAATTCTTTGTGAATTTTTGACTTTTTTGAACAGTTTTGAACAACATGAAGGATATAGCCAATAGAGTAATTGTGATTGTAAAATTTATAACACTTACAGCTTTAGAAGGACATTTAAAGGTTGGCTGTGTACTCTCAAGAATTTGAGACCACAACATGTGTTTTAAAACGAGAAGGTTGCAGATCGATGTCCCCCACGAAAGCGTTTGATAATATTCACACAGGTTTGGTGATATGCCACCCAAGCAGCGGTTGAAGATGAATGAAACCTGAAAACATTGGACTTGAGACCTTTCCTGATGCGCACTAAATGCTCATTGAGTGCTTTGGTGCGCTTCTGCTGGGTGGCCTATATTTATGAATTTTCAACAAACCCAACAACCAAAAATTCTACTTGAGGGAGTCCGCAAGAAAATGAGTTGGCGAAGTAAGAAAAAGTTGCGGACCCCTCGGGGCAACCCCGATTTGTTTTCCACGTAACCTTCAGCTTACCTTCGAAAGGACTTTTGCTGGGCTTGAAAGATCGAATTCCAGGTATCCGTAAACTCCACCTCTTCTATCCATAAATAAAGTGACGTTTGTGAAATGGAAATCATGCGTCCTTTCAGGGCAGTCTCCATGGTTAAAGAAATCGGCAACAAGCCTAGTTTTAATCTAAAATGGAAAACCGTCACACTACACCACGGCGTTATGTGTATGACAATAATAAACATGATGTTGGGTGTATTGAAGCGGATGCCACAGTGTTTAGGGTTTGCCTACCCTGTCTGTCCGTAAGGCAGCCGTACTAACTTAACCAAAATTATCTTGGGTTATCAAAGAATTTCAAGCACTCCGAATTTTTGTCACCCTTTCCCCCGAAGTGCTCAATCTACTCCTTATTGTACTAAAATCAATTTTCGTTACAAAATTACTTTCATGGAAATCTCTTTGTTACAAAAATTACTTTGGAGCACAAGTCCGTTGATAGGATAGTAAAAATGCAGTGTAGGCTCGAGTGTAGGTTTTGACTGAGCGATAACAAAGCCCATTTACTAGGATAAACCAAAAGGACTCTCAAGACAAACAGACTTCTTCCGCCGGAAACGGTGATAGCTTCCCGATGTGCCGCATTTCGTGTCGCTAGCAACGAATCAAAAGGGAGTAAAAAAAGGTCCGTCCAGAAACGGATCGT